TGGATGTGTATAAGCTAGACGAGCTGAATGAAAAAACAAAAATAATACATTTTAATGGTTTTCTTTTTAACGTACTAATTTGACGTCGTCTATTTATATTAAAATAACCGCTTGGACCACCAAATATAAATTGTGTAAGTTGTTCAACATCGAATGTTGCTGATTGACGTTCATGTAATAAATCAGGATTTTTTGTGTCACTTATTCGATAAAATGGGCTTTGGTCTTGAGTGTCGACCATTTCTTTATTTTATTTTTTTTTATCTATCGAAAAGAAATAAAACCCTAAATACACCTGTGTGCATATATATTCTACTATTCTTTAAAAGTATGTTTATGATTCATCATACTCTTTTTATCGTTTTCTCTATTCGTGTATTTTTACATAATATAGAACGAAATGAATTCTGAAAAGAAAAGGAGAAACTCTAAATTAATTTAATACAGTAGTCGTAAAAAGTCTTGCTACCAGTAAGAGAATTACCTAAACTTGAATCTTTTGGTCTCATATTTTGATCACAAATAGAGTAAGTTAAACTCTGATCGCAAGGAGCAATCAGGACTTGATCAACTTTTATGTGGAGCAACTAGAAGGTCAACATAGAAAACAGATTTCATAGCATTTAATCTCTTAGTCAAGAATTTAGTACTGTTTCTATCACAAATAAAAAGTTCATATGAAACGGTTGTTTCACTTTGCCTGATTTATGAAGTAATCTTTGAATAGTTTTGAAATAAGAGTTGGTGAGATCCGGTGAAGAGACATTCATAATTCTAGCTAATTTCAACCATTTGTCTTGAGATGTTCTCTAGTGAGACTTCTGTTCTCATTAACTTTTTTTCAGAAGGTTTTACGATTTTAGCTATTGACAGACAGGAGATTAATGCTGAAGCCTTCTGAGACAATGGAGATTTTTTCGTGCCTCAAAGTTATAGCAGATAGAAGTACTCTATCTGTGAAATAATATACACATGTGGAGCTTTATTTGCTGATAAGAAGATGGATGATAACACGTCAAATTTATAGAGAACCAGAAACGTGTCAACAGAACCTTTTTCAGGCTTCAGCGGAAAAAAATAGTGCTTTCGACCTAAATCTGTTACATTAAGTTCGATCTATCTTGATTTGATGCTTACAATCATGACTTGTCGATGTTATGAATTGAAGTGTTCCTCTTCATTCATAAGATGAAGCAAACAGAATAAGATACACTCCTTTTTAGTACAGTGGTTAATACGACTCCCCGGAAAGTAGGAGATGCATGGTTCGATTCCATGCGAAGGGAGATTATTCTTTTGTTTCGTTCTGTAATACCATCACGTTGCTGTCTCGGTGATATCAGAGTATAACATGAGAATTCGAGCAGTAAAAAATAAAGAAGAAAAAGATAAATACATAACAGTCGAACTCTACTTGCAGTCAACATATCAGGCAAAAAAATTGAAGTTGATATAATTTTTATCCAATAACGAGACTTCTTATGACGACTGTAAATTTTCGATAGTCGACATTGAATTATTATATATATGTCAGCTTATAATTCAATTTCGACTTTACTAGTTCTGACAAAACTACCCA